GAATCTGGGGAATGGCAGACTCTAATTAATAAAAATTAATAGAGATCCTAATTAATAGAGATCAGTCCTCATTAAAGAGAAATGTACTCTTTTAAGAGCAGGCATTCGGTCAGCTTCAGCCCCACAATAAAGTTGGTAGAATGATGATTGGCATGCACAAGACCCTGCAGCTGCCAGTGGCACAGTTTCGCAGATAAGGGATGTGGATGTGAAGGCTGAAGATAACGAATGTGGATGTGTAAAATAAGTGGAGATTGTGCCTGCTTCACAGCCGTATCCGTGTTTGCTGCACCTCATCGCAGAACTATTGTTGGAGTTCCCGAATGTTGTGGTACTTGGAGATTTCAATTGAGGAAGCAGAACAAGAATTTATGATTATCATAACAGCCAGGATTACCCAAAGGTTTCTGGGGCCCTGCATATATAGGATGCCACATATTGGAACTATTTTTTTTTTTAATTTGGAACAATTGAGATATGATGTGAAAATCAGGAATCAATTAATGATTTCTGGTATTCTTGCTTCTCTCTTAGCTCCAAGCACTAGAAAGTGCAATTCGATTATCACTTTAAAGCACTAGATGGCTCAGGTCATGGAAAGTTTCCAGTATATCTGTTTTTTTAATGATATCACCAGCATCTTGAATATAAGAAGAGATAGAATAATCTTACTGATCCTCTACCTTTAATATATTATTTCTATAATTTAACATAATTTTTACAAATATTCTAATATGGCTTCTTGTATCTGTTTTAGATATATATGAATTGTTTTAAATATACATGAGAATTTTCTGTTTCAAGATATTTTATGTTTGTCACCAATCATTTTAGTGTCCTTTTTGTATTATGATATTCGTATAGATCTTTGGGGCGGAAATGCATTTTTCAAAATGTTTCAGACAAATAAAAACTTTTTTTTACTGGCATTTGGGATTTCTCCCTGTCTTCTTTGTTCAGTGACATTATAATGACACTATAATACACTGCATAATATCATTACATGATGGATATATATGGCAAAAGTGGTTTGCAAAAACAAAAACATATGTCGAGATATAGTGAATGACGTTAGATTCACCTACATTTCCTTTTCTTGTTTATACACTTATTTTATTGTTTTCTTCTTTTTTATGCTTATAAATTATTCAAAAGGTGAATTGTGTAATGTATGTATGCATATAGGTATGACAAATAATGCAAAATACTGTTTTCATAGGAAAAAGATATGTTTAATTTTATGCATATGCCTTCAATTTTATTAAGCAAAATAAAACAGGTAGATTTTTGTTTTAAATTAGGACTTTATTATTTTGCTTAATATGTGAATAAGTTATTTAGTTTAAGTAATATATTTATGTAACCTAATGTCTCATAATTTTAATAACAAAAATCAGATTTAAAACTTTGATGATATTTGTTTTAATATTTCACTCCAGATAATCATGTACACTGTGAAAATTTGGCCAGTTAGTATATATAAAGATTTGGATTGCTTCTAGTGTCTTGGCATTATTTTTATTATGTTCCCAAAATAAGTGTTAATGAAATAGTTTATCTTCCATTGTAACATCACTTCTATTTCAGTATGCTTTTTTTTAATGGAGAACCTATAGTAAAGAGCTCTTACAAAGATTCTTAACTGAAAAGCTTTCTTTGTTGTTCTGTTAAGCCGGGTGTCAAACTCATATTGTCATGGTGGCGTCGTGTGATGTATTGGGACTTTCCCCCTTCACTAAACCGGGTATGGGTGTGGCCAGCACATGACACATCCAGCCCACAGGCCGGGAGTTTGACAGCCCTGTGTTAAATAATGCAGCCTGAATACAGGTGTGTTTTAACACTCTTAGAATGAATCTTAATGTTTAAATATGATTTTAAATCTGTTGGAGTTTATTTTAACAAGAGATAGTAAGGCTGTTTATGAACTGAAAAATGCTAGCTTATTAATTTTTTACATATGTTAGGACTTTATGATTCAGTGTTGGAGAAAAATTAAAACAAATAACATTTCCCTGCACTTATAACTAAACAGGGTTAAATCAAATAAAACTTATATATGTTAGCAGTGCAACGAATGTTGATGCCTAATGTTGGTCTCATATATATATATATATATATAAATATATATATGTGGATCTTTGGTTGTTCGGGTTTTCTCCCGCGTAAGATTCAAAGTATCTAGGCAACGTTTCGATGAAGTCTCATTCATCATCTTCAGGCTTCTGTCTCCGGCTCTGTGCTTCTCAGAGTAATGTGAGATTGCAGCTGCTTCCTCCTTTTAACTGCCAGTGGGGGTGGGACTTGGTTGGGTGGGGGCTTGGCTGTGTTCTGATTGGGTGGGGGTGTGTTCTCATTGGTAGGGGTTTTGGCTGTGTTCTGATTGGTTGGGGGGTTAGCCGTGTTCTGATTGGTTGGAGACGTGTTCTGTTCAGGTGGGGGCTTGGTTGTGCTCAGGTTAGTCTTAGTTGCTGGGGGATTTGAGCTGGTGAGCTGTGATCTTGCTGTTTGGCTTCTAGTTCGTGGTCCTGCTGCATCTTCATAGTGGGTGTCGGTTTGCTTCATGTATGGCTCAGAGGGGTTTGAAGTGGGTAGTGATGCAGCTGCAGTGCAACTCGCTATCTGGAGAGCCGAAACACAGGCCACCCTCAAGACAGACACACACACCAACAAACTCAGGAAACTACAACAATGCCAGAAACCAACTCCCCCTCCCCCACAGCCACACATGAAACAAACATTGCACAACATCTCAGACAAGATCCTCACTGAAGCTGAAACCAAGGTCCTTTCAAAAGGATTCAACTTTGCTGTCGCTCCCAAATACATCCCCACAGAAACCATCATATGCGGAGTTGATATATATATATATATATATCAATATATATATATATATATATATTTGTTTTCTGAGGTTCTCGCGGGTATTTGTATGTGGATCTTTGGTTGTTCGGGTTTTCTCCCGCGTAAGATTCGAAGTATCTAGGCAACGTTTCGATGAAGTCTCATTCATCATCTTCAGGCTTCTGTCTCCGGCTCTGTGCTTCTCAGAGTAATGTGAGATTGCAGCTGCTTCCTCCTTTTAACTGCCAGTGGGGGTGGGACTTGATTGGGTGGGGGCTTGGCTGTGTTCTGATTGGGTGGGGGTGTGTTCTCATTGGTAGGGGGTTTGGCTGTGTTCTGATTGGTTGGGGGGTTAGCCGTGTTCTGATTGGTTGGAGGCGTGTTCTGTTCAGGTGGGGGCTTGGTTGTGCTCAGGTTAGTCTTAGTTGCTGGGGGATTAGAGCTGGTGGGTTGTGATCTTGCTGTTTGGCTTCTAGTTCGTGGTCCTGCTGCATCTTCATAGTGGGTGTCGGTTTGCTTCATGTATGGCTCAGAGGGGTTTGAAGTGGGTAGTGATGCAGCTGCAGTGCAGCTTCTGGTCCATGGTCGTGTCTCATTTTCTGAATGGGTGGGAGTCTGTTTTCTATATGGAAGTGTGGTGGTGGCATCTTGTGTGGCTCTCATGGGTGTGGGTCTGGTGTCCTTCTTCATGTTAGGTACTTGTCTGTTCATGAGGGCGGGTTTCCAAATGGCTGGAAGGCGGGAGGTGTCATCTCGTTTGTTCATGCTGTGTGGGCGTTTTTCTATCTCTATGGCTTCTCTGATTATTCTGCTGTTGAAGTGTTTGGTTTTGGCGATAGTTCTGGTATTTTTAAAATCAATTTCATGTCCTGTGGCTTTGAGGTGTTGGACCAGGGAAGAGGTCGTTTCTTCTTTTTTGATTGAGTTCTTATGTTCTTCAATGCGTGCACTTATTCTTCTGTTAGTTTGTCCAATGTATGTGGTAGGGCAGGCAGTGCAGGGGATTTCGTATACTCCTTGGTTTTCTAATTCGATTTTGTCTTTGGGGTTTCTTAGGATGGTGGATATTTTTCTGTTTGTGCAGAATGCTGTTTCGATGTTGTGTTTTTGGAGGATCTTGCTAATTTTGTCTGTAGTGCCTTTTATATATGGGAGGAGGGCTTTGCCGTTTTCTTGTTCTCTGTCTTGGATTTTGGTTGGGGTTTCTTTTTGGATTAGGTGGGTAATCTTCTTTCTTTGGAATCCATTGGCTGTAAGTACGTTGGTGAGAGTGTGTAGTTCGGTTTTTTGGTGTTGTTCATCGGCTAAGCATTTTGTTCTGGAGATGAGTGTCTTGGCTACGGAATTGATCTGTGCTGGGTGGTGGTGTGAGAGTGCATGTAGATAGCGGTTAGTATGTGTTTTCTTCTGGTAGATGGTGTGTCCTAGGGAGCCATTGGATCTTTTGTATACCAAGACATCTAGGAAGGGAAGTTGATTGTTGGCTTCTGTTTCCATGGTGAATTGTATTTTGGGGTGTAGGCTGTTGAGGTATGTGAGGAAGTTGTTCAGTTTTTCTTTCCC